ATGTGTCTGTGTGTGTGCGTTTGTTTGTGTGTGTGTGTCATTTATACATGTGTGTATTAGAGAGAGAGTAATGTATGAGTGTGTGTGTGACATTTATATATGTGTGTGTGTGTGCGTTTGTTTGTGTGTGTGTCATTTATACATGTGTGTGTGTGTATTAGAGAGAGAGTAATGTATGTGTCTGTGTGTGTGCGTTTGTTTGTGTGTGTGAGTCATTTATATAAATGTGTGTGGGTGTGTGTGTGTGTGAGAGAGAGTTATGTATGTGTGCTTATGTGTGTTTAGGCGTGTGAGAGAGTAATTTATGTGTGTGTGTCATTTCTATATGTGTGTGTGTCTGTGTGTGTGCGTGTGTGTGTGTGTGTGTCTGTATGTGTGCGTGTGTGTGTGTGTGTATAATTTCTAGTTAGACCCTGGTTCTTCTGTGGGGAGATGGATGAGCTGCTGACACAGGTTTTATCGGACGCTTTGTGCCATAATGTGTAAACAATGGTAGCAGGAGATCCTCTGTGTGCCGCGGTGGAACAATGGGATCAGGAGAGCCTCCGTGTGCCGCGGTGGAACAATGGGATCAGGAGAGCCTCCGTGTGCCGCGGTGGCTGGGAACAATGGTAGCAGGAGACCCTCTGTGTGCCGCGGGGGAACAATGGTAGCAGAAGACCATGCCTACACACTAACTCAACAAAACTCAGTTTGGTAGGGAAGTGCCCATTGATGAAGTTTTGCTCCAACTCTCCATGCCTCTGTCTCTCTCTCTCTCTCTGTGTCTCTCTCTCTGTCTCTCTCTCTCTCTCTCTCTGTCTCTCTCTGTCTCTCTCTCTCTCTCTCTCTGTCTCTCTCTGTCTCTCTCTGTCTCTCTCTCTCTCTCTCTAAATGTACATACCTAAAAGAATGGCCAAAAATCACCACAACAAAAATATTTTCGTACTTCGTTGACTCCATGGCTGTGGATGGAAATGCGATCAACAACCTGAAGAGCTCGGAGGCATATCAGTACCTTCATAGCAACAAAGTAGGCTGTGTACTATTACACGAACGTGACCCGTTCATTTATATGAAGGCAGATGTTGAGCCGAGTCAATGTCTCAACGATTTAGTCCACAAACCATGGGTGGTGGTGGCAAACAATACGGGAGACGTTGAAACTGCCGGTTGTACGTGTGTAGCCGGACCTGGGCGTTCGTGTAGCCATGCAGCCGCCGTGCTATGGAAGGTACGTTCTTTATTTTGATGCTTGCACCGTACTTCTTATTTGGTTACTTTATTATGTTACAGATAGAGATCGTGTACTTGTGTCTTTGATGCTAGATCAGTGGTTCTTAACCTTGTTGGAGGTACCGAACCCCACCAGTTTTATATACGCATTCACCGAACCCCTCTTTAGTGAAATACAACATTTTCAAATTCAAGACAGATATGATTTTTCCTGGTGCACAAAATGAGCAGTGCATTAACATTGTGTTCAAAGAACAAAACCAACACAATGCATGAACTCATCATAACAAATAACATACCTGCAAATCAGTGTGACTTCTGCTGTTGCCTTTGAGAGACCAGTTGAGATATGCGTGGCTTCACCTTGGAAAGTGCCACTCTCATGTCATTTTCACAGCAAAGTCTGTTCCTTTTTTTCGTTTTTATGTCCAGCAACTTTGAAAAGGACTGCTCGCAAAGATATGTTGTAACAAATGGAATACAAAAATCCAGGGCTTTCTTAGCAATAACTGGATACTTGTCCATTGGATGACACCAAAACGTTGAGAGCGTTGTTGTTCTGAAAATTTGCTGTCAAACCTGGCTCTGCTGAATGTCAATGATTTCGTCAAGGTATTCATCAATGACATCTACTGTCTCAACATCAGACGTAAACGGCTGTCTTACCCATGCTGGATATGACTCTCTTGTAGGGAAATATCCGTCAATAGACTTTGCAAGCTAATCTAAGTGCGTGGCAATTGTTTGCTTCAGTTCCGTGGATACACACATATCTCCAATGCCAGACGATCTTACTTAAACAGTCATCCAGAAGGGGGAAGTTTGCAAAGTTATTGTTCTCTGTTCGTCGTTTCCACAACGGTAGCTTTTTTGAAAAGCCTTCAAATGTTCTTCCGCTTCTATGATATTGACTCCGCCACCCTGCATGTGCTGATTGAGATGATTGAGAGCGGCGAATATATCAGCCATGTACGCAATTCAGCACCTGTCCCCGGGATACAGTGCCTGCAGTTCATCCAGAGCGATCATGGGCCTCTTGGCTGCATCTCTGATCAGTCTTCTCCTTGTTTGAGATGAAAGTTTGGAAGGACGGCTGGGTCTTGGTAGATTTGCAGTGGTCTGATACTCCTTCCATCTCAATATAATTACTTGCACAGTGCTCCTTGAGATGTTTAAAGCTTGGGAAATCTTTTTGTATCCAAATCCGGCTTTAAACTTCTCCACAACAGTATCTCGGACCTGCCTGGTGTGTTCCTTTGTCTTCATGGTTCTCTCTGTGCTTTAAACAGAACCCTGAGACTATCAAAGAGCAGGTGCATTTATACAGAGACTTGATTACACACAGGTGCATTCTATTTATCATCATCAGTCATTTAGGACAACATTGGATCATTCAAGATCCTCACTGAACTTCTGGACTGAGTTTGCTGCACTGAAAGTAAAGGGGCCCAATAATATTGCACGCCCCACTTTTCAGTTTTTTATTTGTTAAAAAAGTTTAAATTATCCAATAAATTTCATTCCACTTCACGATTGTGTCCCACTTGTTGTTGATTCATGACAAAAAATATTTTTTTTATATCTTTATGCTTGAAGCCTGAAATGTGGCGAATTGTTGAAAGGTTCAAGGGGGCCGAATACTTTCGCTAGGCATTGTAACCATCGAACATTAGAATGATAGAGAAGTACCTCGAAGTCAGAGCCCATTTCTTTACACAGCTCACTGAAGATGCGGTGCCTCAGAGCACTACTTCGGACATAGTTAACACATTCCACCACAGCTTTTAATACATCTGCCATTTTTGGAGGCAATGTTTTTTTTGCCAATGCATGCCTGTGCAGAATACAATGTGTCACAATGATGTGTGGTGCATCGGCTTTTACGAGCGCACCAAAACCAGACTTTCTTCCCAGCATGACTGGAGCTCCGTCCATACAAACAGCAGAAACCATATCCCATGAAAGATTGTTGTCTTAGAAGAAGTCATCCACAAGCTTCTTCACATCGACTGCCTTAGTTGTTGTTGTAAGAGGCTTACAAAATAAAAATTCTTCATTTATCATGTTGTCTTTCACATAGCACACGAAAACAGCAAGCTGGCTTAGATTTGAAACTTCTGTGGTCTCGTCGAGTTGAAAGGCTGAATTTTGCTGGGCTCGAAATCAGATCCGCCACTTCTTGAGCCAATATGTCTTTACTCATGTCCTCTATTCTGTCGCTGACGGTGTCATTTGAAAGAAGAATTTGGGATAATTTACCTTCGGCCGCTGTTCCGAGTATCAGATTCGCCATCTTTAACGCCGCTGGTTTCACGAGTGTTTTGCCAATGGTGTGTGGCTTTCCCTGCTTTGCGATCAGGTAAGCAACTTCGTACGATGCTGTAATGACCGGTTCGCTAACGGGTACAAATCCAAGAGCAGGCAGAGTGGCCCTTTCATCGTATCTGGCTCTCTTTACCTTGAATTCAGCAAGTGTTGAGTTCTTGTATTCCCCGTCTCCATGCCGCTTCACAAAGTGTTCCTTTAGTTTTGCCGGTGCAAGACGGTGTTGCTCAACTTGGCGTTGCAAATCATGCAGATAGGACGCTCACTCCCATCAAGTTCCGTGAAACATGTGAATCCATGTTGTACATATTTGTCCGACCACTTTCTTCTTTTGCCCGACATATTAAAGTACGGATTAAAATATTACTGGAGAAGTCACACGAAGCACTACCACGAGCGCGCTACATTCCTCGCACACTGATTGGCCAAGCAGCGTAGCATTCTCATCTGCAGCCAGTGATGGCCAATCAGGGCGCGTCATCACGAACACATTTTTTATTTTGGATATTTTCCGGACCTCTGCGGGGGAGGCTCCGCCGAACCCCTGGGGTTCGATCGAACCCAGGTTAAGAACCACTGTGCTAGATAAGCATTCAATCGGTACAAGGCGTATGCGCAGTATTGTTACGTTTTCACTCGAAATGATGGCTATGCCAAGGTTATAAACTAAGGTGTGAAGAGCTGTGTGTTACGGATAAGCGGGCCGTTCCGTGTTACATGATTATCAGTGTCAGTGCGCGCACGGTAACCCGGAACGGTCCATTTTTCACCCGGACTATTTAAGTGGACAGACTTTCGCTTCCGATTTCTCTACAAATATAACAAAACATGTATTGGTTGTATATTTTTGTTATCGTAATTGGTTTTACCTGTGTTTAAAGAATTATTTAAATTGGGTGTGTTTGATGTGGTAACTTCAGTATTCATTTAATTCTACTTGACGACGCGAGCAACATAAAGGTTCCATACTTTTTAGAATTTACAATACAAATTATTAAAAACATTTTAAGTTTAAATATCTTATCAGGATCTGAGGCAAACCATGGTGATTGGGACATGCTCATTTTCCATTAAAGGGTCTTGTTATTTTGGTTTGTCTTCAATTTGCATACCTTTTTGTATTCAAATGAAAGACTTTAATGCAGTTACTACAAAAACATGATTAGTATGGTGTAGGTGAATTGTAGAGGGACTACTACTTTAAATAAAAATGTAGTTAATGAATCTGAAACTATTTCTAATGTCAGTCTCTGTTTTGCAGGTTTTCAATGTGGAGGTGCAAGGAGTGCCCTGAGACTGTTATCTACGAGGTATCTGTTGCTTAAACACTACAAATTGAAGCATTATCATTATGGATAAAGACACTCGTCTCCATGCACATACTGTGGATCAATACTCCAACAAACTAATGAAGGTGTTCAAGAAGAAAGGAGGAGCAGCAGGACGCAAAATAACAGATTATGGTGGCCCTAGAAGAGGTGTGTTTTACATTGAAACCTTACTGGATAGTCAAATAAGTTTTACTTTCTATACAAACATAACAGAACATATTCTCATGAAAAATCTGAGCATTATTAAAGCTGCACTAACTTACTTTATTTTTGTATTCATTACGAAAATGCTATCCATGTCCATGTAGTGCATTGGGATATACGTCCTTTTGAAGAAAAAGTAGCGCAGATTTGTGCTGGCGTGACATATTTTAGATCGAGTTTTGATGAAGCAAGGAAGAGAATGTGTTTCGGGTCCCCACTTTCGTGAGAAATCTACAGGTCCGTTAGCACAGGCAGCTGAGTTGGCACAACAAGCGGCAGAGCTAATCTGAGACTTCGTCCTCGTCACCGGTTACTGCTTACACAGCCATCCAGAAGAAAGTCTCGTTCCTCTGCGCTTCCCGGTTCTATCGTTCTATGGTCACGCCGTCCAAGTGCAAATCCATGTCCATGTATTATCCATATTGGGAGATGCTAGCTCCGTCGACAACAGTAAATGTGTTTGGGGGGCGATAGCTTCGTGAGCGAGGGGAGGGGAGCAGAAAGAGCGAGGCCAGTGAGTCCGCGGCTTCAAAATCCCAAAGTCAGTTAGTGCAGCTTTAACCCAACATTCTGACTTTTCTCAATATATTTTTTGAAAATGTAACACAAATATTACTGTATAACGAGAACACTTAATTGGTCTTTCACAGAAACCCAACATTGAAACAAGACTACTCTGCATCCTAAAGGCTTTGTGCGTGTACTTGAATGAAGACCCCGAGGACCTGGTTAAGACCTACATGGTGAGTTATCACTTATTTCAGCACACCTTTGACAAATGCTGATATCTATAAATACATTCAAATCATGTTGTCACGCAAATATCTCCAAGTCTAAATAGATGAAGAAAGTTGCATGGCTATTTCAAACCAATTTGTTAAACTAAAACCTGGGCTGTGTAAAATTAACTTTTAGGTAGAGAGGTTGAATTTTTTTTATTTGCTGTATGCAGAACTAGATGTAATGATAAGAGTACAGTAAAAACAATAATAAACCTCTGCCACAAAGAAAAAAATTTCCGTATGCGCAGTAATGCAGAAATTAGATGGTAAAGACCTGGGGACAGCCCAGAACAACGCACTCAGTTGGACTTGTCTCCTGCTCATTTTCCAGAGGGAGCAGTGGGCTATAGCAATAGTTATATAAACAGGCCAGATTTGTCACCACCAACAAAACAAACTGATTTGTAATGTAGACACTGAAGAAAAATGCAACAGCGCAACTCATAGGCCTACCTTGCCCAGCCTCCAATGCCTATACATTGTATAATCGATATAAACAATGGTGACAAATGTTCTAATAAAGACCCCTTATGAGTGAGAATTCACTAAACAGGCTTTTAGGGATGAAGTACTATTGATATTTTAACATTCATACTTATTACTCATACTTAGTGAACATTTTAAAGTATGAATACTATGTGCATAGAGCCAATAATGCTAAGACCAAAATTCACATAAAGATAAATATCTACTTTATTATGGATAATTTACCTTAAATGATAATGAAACACAATTGCTAGTCTAACTTTTAAAGGAAAACTAAACACCAAAACAACTTTTTTTAAACTCATAAACTGCATGAATGTTTCTTTTATAGTGCTCTTTATGTCCTGGTCCTGGTCTAGCTAAACGATAATCTTTAGTGTGTAAACAAGGATGGAATGAGAATTTCTGGTATGGAACTTTTGCTTTAATCCAGAATTGACAGCTGACAAGCAAGCAGTCAATCACAGCCCAGACCACGCCCAAATCTAAGCCCCCTTCCTGTCCCCTGGTCCTGCGGGCAATGCCCTTTTTACAGAGAATTTTCAAATGTTCATGTGGTCGGAGTCAGGCTGGGCACAGGTGTTTAGTCGCACTTTAACCCACTCACCGTTGCACAAGATTTAGCAGTTGACTGCTGTGCAAAAGAGCGATGCTTTTTGGCATGGTAGTCAGAGCGTATGTACAATGGTTGTAGCATGCAACTACTGTAGCAGTGTGCGTTATTTTTGATTAAAATGTCACCATCTCACACCTTGTGCTTGATTTATAGGGTTTGATTTCAATATGGGAAAATATTAAATTGTAAATTGAAGCTTTCTATCTGCCATTCTTTTCTTTTAAGGATGCCGATGTTGGAGCAGAGAAGGAGTTTGAGAAAGTAGTGCTGGGTGTCTACATCGTGGAACATCAACATGCCGATGCATCAGACTCATTGGAGGACTTTGGAATAATCATCGATGGCATTGCAGTTCTTCAAGACCTAAAACACATTCCAACTGGATGGGCGCTCCCTTCTTGGATTAATCTACTGTCTGGACATGAACTCTCGAAAGGGACTCGGATGTACTTTTGAATTTATTCCAAAGGTATTAATGGAAGTGGACAGAAGAAAGCTCTCCAACAAAGTTCAAATTCTGAAAAACAAACTGCACGAACATATCTAATCAAGACTTAACTGTTTCAAAATGTGTTTGGACTATGTTTCATCAGTGGATATCACACCGTACATGCAACAGAGAAGAAATGGACTTTGTAGGCTGAAAAGACTCTTCGATATACATCCTGTACTATGTGTGTTGTGCTGTGCTCTTGAGACTAGCTTAAATGTACTCTTTTGAAAAAAGTATACACAGATGGATGGACCTAGACACACAGACGGACAGGTACACAGAGTGGAGACAGAGGGCCAGGGACACAGACTGATGGAGACGGACGGACAGGGAGACAGACTGATGGAGACGGACAGACAGGGACACAGACTGATGGAGACAGACTGAAAGAGGGACAGGGACACAGACTGATGGAGACAGACTGAAAGAGGGACAGGGACACAGACTGATGGAGACAGACTGAAAGAGGGACAGGGACACAGACTGATGGAGACAGACTGAAAGAGGGACAGGGACACAGACGGACAGACGGGGACGCAGATAGACGGATGGAGACACAGACGAACAGACTCAAACGGACCGACACTCACTTGCTCACTCACTCACTGCATGTTTTTGCATTGCTTCTTACTCCAGACGAGAATTTGGAAGTAGCTGTTAATTTCAAAGTTTAGTCCCAAATGTAAAAGTTAAAAGCAAATGTTTAGGTCTACATACATTTGGTGGGTAGTTGTTGGGGTTTAGCAATTCTGTTGGCAGTCTTTAGCCAATTTTCAGAGTGAAAACATTAACTACACACAACCACTGTTATTATTTAAGACATTTAATAGGCAGTTCCTAGTGCTCTGCAATGTGTATTTACATTAAAGTGTTTCATGAAAAGTTACTTTGATTTAAATATGGGATCATTTATGCACTTTACATTTTTAATTAATTGTATATTTTTTATTTAAAATGTTTGAGTTGGTACATGTGTTAAATGGGTGGAGAGAAATTACCTGTTTAAATAAAAGCTTGAATATAAATAAGCACTTTATGTTGTATTTATTTAACTTAACAATGTAGCCATTACTACTTTAGTTTTGTTGAATCAACACAAGCCCACTACATAAATATAATTAATTTCTGTTAAGTTGATCAAACTTAACAGTGTTTGGTTGAACCAATGTGAGATTAGTAAATCCAACATAATGTTGTTGGGCTTATACAATCTAACACTGTCATGTTACTGTAAAGTGAGAATGTTGAGTATACTTTATCTAACATCTGGTGTTCAAATTAATTGTGATTTGCATTTCCAATTTAAACAACACAGTTTCGTGGAACCGGTTGCCATAAAAAAGTTAAGTAAAGTCAACATTTCATTTCTTACAGTGTGGTCTCTCTCTGGTCTCACTCTGGTCTCTCTCTGGTCTCTCTCTGGTTTCTCTCTGGTCTCTCTCTGGTCTCTCTCTGGTCTCTCTCTGGTCTCACTCTGGTCTCTCTCTGGTCTCTCTCTGGTTTCTCTCTGGTCTCTCTCTGGTCTCTCTCTGGTTTCTCTCTGGTCTCTCTCTGGTCTCTCTCTGGTCTCTCTCTGGTCTCTCTCTGGTCTCACTCTGGTCTCTCTCTGGTCTCTCTCTCTGGTTTCTCTCTGGTCTCTCTCTGGTCTCTCTCTGGTTTCTCTCTGGTCTCTCTCTGGTCTCTCTCTGGTCTCTCTCTGGTCTCTCTCTGGTTTCTCTCTGCTCTCTCTGGTTAGGTTTGGTTCTCTCACGTTAGAACTGAATCCTCCTCGTCGTCTTGGCAACGCTACGCTAACATTAGCATCACCGCTAGCCTGTCTGTGTAAAACCCTCGAATAAAACCCTTCAAAGCTTTTCTTATTTGTGTTTTTCGTGAGTTGTTTGTGTTTTGTGACAAACGGAGCCGACTTAATCCCACGGTGTTAGCATAAACACACAGTGGGCGGAAAGAGCCACGACTTATTAAAATATTACTGAACAAAACGAGCTGAGGAGGAGGTCGGGAGTTCACACACTTTCTCAAAATATGGATTTTTGGAATAAAAGAATGGATTCTCTCTCCTCTTTATCTCCTAGTGTTGTGCTGGTCCTCTCCTCAATTTCTCCTTATGTTATGCCAGTCCTCTCTGGTCTCTTCTAGTGTTGTCCTGGTCCTCTCCTGTCTTTCTCCTAGTGTTGTGCTGGTCCTCTCCTGTCTTTCTCCTAGTGTTGTGCTGGTCCTCTCCTGTCTTTCTCCTAGTGTTATGCTGGTCCTCTCCTGTCTCTCCTAGTGTTGTCCTGGTCCTCTCCTGTCTTTCTCCTAGTGTTGTCCTGGTCCTCTCCTCTCTTTCTCCCAGTGTTGTGCTGGTCCTCTCTTGTCTTTCTTCTAGTGTTGTGCTGGTCCTCTCCTGTCTTTCTCCTAGTGTTGTGCCGGTCCTCTCCTGTATTTCTTCTGGTGTTGTGCTGGTCCTCTCTGGTCTCTCCTAGTGTTGTGCTGGTCCTCTCCTGTCCTGTCGGGCGGCACGGTGGCTGAGTGGATAGCACTCTCGCCTCTCAGCAAGAAGGTCTTGGGTTCGAATCCCGGTCGGACCAGGGCCTTTCTGAGTGGAGTTTGCATGTTCTCCCCGTGTCTGCGTAGGTTTCCTCCGGGTACTCCGGTTTCCCCTACCACTAAAAATATGTCCAATAGTTCTGGCATGCGCCTCCTGTACTGGCCCCGCTCCCATCTCTGTGTGGAGTGAGAGACAATTGCCCAAAAATTAACAATTGTAAACCGCTTTGAGACTCAGATCTGCAGTGAAAAGGCGGTATATAAATAAAAACTTACTTACTTACTTACTTAATTACTGTCTTTCTCCTAGTGTTGTCCTGGTCCTCTCCTCTCTTTCTCCTAGTGTTGTGCTGGTCCTCTCCTCTCTTTCTCCTAGTGTTGTGCTGGTCCTCTCCTCTCTTTCTCCTAGTGTTGTCCTTGTCCTCTCCTCTCTTTCTTCTAGTGTTGTGCCGGTCCTCTCCTGTCTTTCTCCTAGTGTTGTCCTGGTCCTCTCCTCTCTTTCTCCTAGTGTTGTGCTGGTCCTCTCCTCTCTTTCTCCTAGTGTTGTCCTTGTCCTCTCCTCTCTTTCTTCTAGTGTTGTGCCGGTCCTCTCCTGTCTTTCTCCTAGTGTTGTGCTGGTCCTCTCCTGTCTTTCTCCTAGTGTTGTGCTGGTCCTCTCCTGTCTTTCTCCTAGTGTTGTCCTGGTCCTCTCCTGTCTTTCTCCTAGTGTTGTCCTGGTCCTCTCCTCTCTTTCTCCTAGTGTTGTCCTGGTCCTCTCCTGTCTCTCCTAGTGTTGTCCTGGTCCTCTCCTCTCTTTCTCCCAGTGTTGTCCTGGTCCTCTCCTGTCTTCCTCATAGTGTTGTCCTGGTCCTCTCCTGTCTTTCTCCTAGTGTTGTCCTGGTCCTCTCCTGTCTTTCTCCTAGTGTTGTGCTGGTCCTCTCTTGTCTTTCTTCTAGTGTTGTGCCGGTCCTCTCCTGTCTTTCTTCTAGTGTTGTCCTGGTCCTCTCCTCTCTTTCTCCCAGTGTTGTGCTGGTCCTCTCCTGTCTTTCTCCTAGTGTTGTCCTGGTCCTCTCCTCTCTTTCTCCCAGTGTTGTGCTGGTCCTCTCCTCTCTTTCTCCTAGTGTTGTCCTGGTCCTCTCCTCTCTTTCTCCTAGTGTTGTCCTGGTCCTCTCCTGTCTTTCTCCTAGTGTTGTCCTGGTCCTCTCTTGTCTTTCTCCTAGTGTTGTGCTGGTCCTCTCCTGTCTCTCCTAGTGTTGTCCTGGTCCTCTCCTCTCTTTCTCCTAGTGTTGTCCTGGTCCTCTCCTCTCTTTCTCCTAGTGTTGTCCTGGTCCTCTCCTGTCTTTCTCCTAGTGTTGTCCTGGTCCTCTCCTGTCTTTCTCCTAGTGTTGTGCTGGTCCTCTCCTGTCTCTCCTAGTGTTGTCCTGGTCCTCTCCTCTCTTTCTTCTAGTGTTGTCCTGGTCCTCTCCTGTCTCTCCTAGTGTTGTCCTGGTCCTCTCCTGTCTTTCTTCTAGTGTTGTCCTGGTCCTCTCCTCTCTTTCTTCTAGTGTTGTGCTGGTCCTCTCCTCTCTTTCTTCTAGTGTTGTGCTGGTCCTCTCCTCTCTTTCTCCTAGTGTTGTCCTGGTCCTCTCCTCTCTTTCTCCTAGTGTTGTCCTGGTCCTCTCCTCTCTTTCTCCTAGTGTTGTGCTGGTCCTCTCCTGTCTTTCTTCTAGTGTTGTGCTGGTCCTCTCCTCTCTTTCTCCTAGTGTTGTGCTGGTCCTCTCCTGTCTTTCTCCTAGTGTTGTCCTGGTCCTCTCCTCTCTTTCTCCTAGTGTTGTCCTGGTCCTCTCCTGTCTTTCTCCTAGTGTTGTCCTGGTCCTCTCCTGTCTTTCTCCTAGTGTTGTGCTGGTCCTCTCCTGTCTCTCCTAGTGTTGTCCTGGTCCTCTCCTGTCTTTCTTCTAGTGTTGTCCTGGTCCTCTCCTCTCTTTCTTCTAGTGTTGTGCTGGTCCTCTCCTCTCTTTCTTCTAGTGTTGTGCTGGTCCTCTCCTCTCTTTCTCCTAGTGTTGTCCTGGTCCTCTCCTCTCTTTCTCCTAGTGTTGTCCTGGTCCTCTCCTCTCTTTCTCCTAGTGTTGTGCTGGTCCTCTCCTCTCTTTCTCCTAGTGTTGTGCTGGTCCTCTCCTCTCTTTCTTCTAGTGTTGTCCTGGTCCTCTCCTCTCTTTCTCCTAGTGTTGTGCTGGTCCTCTCCTGTCTTTCTTCTAGTGTTGTGCTGGTCCTCTCCTCTCTTTCTTCTAGTGTTGTGCTGGTCCTCTCCTCTCTTTCTCCTAGTGTTGTGCTGGTCCTCTCCTGTCTTTCTTCTAGTGTTGTGCTGGTCCTCTCCCTGTCTTTCTTCTAGTGTTGTCCTGGTCCTCTCCTGTCTCTCCTAGTGTTGTCCTGGTCCTCTCCTGTCTTTCTTCTAGTGTTGTCCTGGTCCTCTCCTCTC